TTTTAAATTATTGAGTATTGAGAGACCTTCACATGTTCTTGATACAACATCTATATCAAACATACATTTTACAAATATTTGCTACCATTCTATGGTTTTTTTATTTTCTTAGCAGTGTCTTCCAAAGAACAGAAGTTTTCATTTTGATAAAGCCCAATTTATTGATCTATTCTACTATGAATTGTGATGTTAATGCCATATCTAAGAAATCTCTGCATGAAAGATCATGTTGGCTGTAACTAAAGACTGTTTTACTTTATCTTTTCAAGTATGAATAGATTTTATTTCCTTTTCTTGTCTTATTGCAATGTCTGAAATCTCTAGTATAATGTTGAAGAAAAGTCGTGAGAATAGATATCTTTGCCCTATTGTTGATCTTAGGGGAAATGTGTTGCTGTTGTTTATTTTTTTTCATTTTTGGTATTGTAGTTTTTAATCTCTGGAAGCTCAAATTGGTTCTATTTTATATCTTCCATGTCTCTGCTTAACTTTTAGAATATATTGAATAAAATTATAATAAATGAAGTTTTAATGTTCTTTTCTGCTAACTCTAACATCTGTGTTAGTTCTCGATGATTTTGATTGATTTGCCTTTTATTTAGTGGTCGTATTTTCCTACATCTTTCTATACCTGGTAATTTTTATTAGGTGCCAGACATTGTAAATTTTACCTGGTTGGGTGCTGGATATTTTTATATTTCTATAAGTGTTCTTTAGCTTTGTTTTGGAAGACAGTTAAGTTTCTTGGAAACGTTCTGACCCTTTCTGGTCTCGCTTTTCAGATTTATTAAGCAGACTCAGGGGAGTGATCAATCTATGGCTAATTATTCCTCACTACTGAGGCAAAAGAAACTTCTGAGCATCCTACATAACGCACCATGAATGAAGAAGCTTTCCAGTCTGGCTGGTGTGAACAGGTACTATTCTTGGCCCTGTGGGAGCACTGGTCACCAATCTTTCTAATTCTTTTAGGAAGTTCTTTCCCCATCTTTAGATAGTTTCCTATCATGCTTGTGGTGATCAGTACTCAACTGAATACCTGAAAAGACCCTTTTACGATCTCTGAAGTTCTCTTTCTTTGTACCTCTCTCCTGTCTGGTGCTCACTCTGTGAACTCTGTCCATCTTGGTCTCCCCTGATTCTCAGCTCTATCTCCTCAATTTAAGGAATCTACATGATTCCACCTGGGTTTCCTTCTCTGTTCTGTGGTTTGAAAACACTCTTAATTCAATAATGTGGGACAATTGTAAGGCTTATTATGGATCATTGTGTCTTGTATCCAGTGTCTTGAAAAGTATTAGTTCATATATTTTGTCCATTTATTGCTTGTTTCAGGTAGGAAAGTAAACTTGGTCCCTGTTACACCATTTTGGCTGGAAGCAGAAGTTCCTTCATATCCTCTTAAAATACAACTATTTACATGGTTGCAATTAGAGTATATGTATCATTTTATGGTCAAATAAACATTAGAGCTCAGACAGACAGTTTCCATATTTCTAAATAGTTTTCATAATTGCCATTTTAGTAGCAAAATATTCCACCCTGTGCCAAATTTATTTGAAAGCAGTTTATACATTAGAGAATGATTTATATTCAACTTCTTTCCAAAAAAGAATTTCAGATGGCTTGCTGACAAAAAGACCTGCTAAATAAATTATGAATTAAAAGGAAAAAAAAGGTTGAGAAAAACCAAGGAAGTAATAATGCCAACTATGATAATAACTGCTCTAATTGAAAGTCAAATTAGGCTTTGGGTATTCTGGCAGCCAAATGTGCCAACTGTGGTTAGTTCCACTATTTTCATTATCAGAATGAAAAGGGGATTTAAGGGGAACTAACAGTTATTGAAGGCCTACTATGTGCAACTTAACAAAGGGCAAAATAATATTTGATTTGATTTTTCACCTCGCCCTCGGACTACTCACCCTGGGTCACAGAGCAAATGATGGAATAGGCATTCCGATTTCCAAGAGTAAAATGACACAGCAGGGATTCTGAGTCACCCATCACACAGGCTACCTGAGGAGAGACAGACATTTTCCTTGTTCTAAATTCTGAGAGAAGCTTCTCACATGGGGCAGTTTATACAGGCAACAGTGAGTGATCCAATGACCAATGTCTTCACAGCAGCTCCCTACTAAATACAGAAGAGCTTTTTAATGGCTGTTTGTTGGTAATGGCTTTTGATAGGTGTGACACTGAACCACCTTCAATTGAGGAGCTTTCAAGAGGAGCTAAACTGAAAGGAATTCCATTGCGTTCTTGGGCAGTAACACTAACCAAGGATGGAACTTAGTTACTTAGAGAAAAGAATCGCTCTCCCCTATGCCTTCTTCCTTCTGTGATCTTGGTTGCTCTTGGATAAGGTTTTGAAAAGACCTAGATAGCTCATTTCTCACTGTTTGGTTTTTTGGTTTTTGGTGAGGGTCTATTTCTTACTAAGTAACTCCTCTTCCTCACAAACTGCTCCATAATCCTTCACTCTTTGATTCCTATGTCCATAACTCTACTGAGACCTCCAGGCATCTTTGTGGAAGGGCCATTGTCACTGGAATTCTGGGGCTCCCTCCTTCTCTGCTCCTCCTCCTCTCAGAGTACTCCTTTTCCTCACAAACTCCTCATGTTCTACACGCCCCGTCCCGCCCCACAAGGGTGCTGTCCTTGCCCCTCTCTCTTTGTATGTAATATATTAGCATCTCCACGAGTGCCTAGCTTGGTATTATTGAGTACCTACTGCTCTCTGAGCTTGATGCTCATAGCTACAGGAATACACAGAGATGAACAATACCTAGTTCTGATGTCAGGTTGTTCGCTCTCTGGTAGGGGGATAATAGAGGAATAGCGTCATAAAGAAATGGTAACTTAAATGTTATAGAAACAAAGCAAATATGAGTGCCCAAATGGAAAAACCGGAAATTCTTCATGGAGGATATAACTTTTGACATTGACATTTCTGTAAACATATACACTTTCACCAGACTCAGTTTATGCACCTCCCAGATTTGCTTGGCCCCTCACGATGGCCCCAGGATTTAACTCTTTGCTTGATGGGGAGCCCCGGTGTTGCCACTGTCATTCCAACTCCTACCACTGTCAGCCATCCTGGCCTCCTCCAGGGTGTGGGCCAGGCTTTGAGACAGTTTTTATAACAGGCACTGAGGAAGGAGCCTCAGCGTCTCCAGTGCCCAGGTCCTGTCTGACTGGCCTACAAAGGCTGTGGTGTCTCCCTCCATTTCTGGGCTCAGAAGCCATTTCTGTTCATACCTGCCTGGAGGAGCTGGTAACATACATGGAGGAGCTTCCTCTCCTTGATGGGCTGTCCCAAGGTGTGGAAGTTCCATGGCAGTCTGGAAGCCCTTCCTCACAACTCAACAACTGTGTTGTGATGTAGCCAGTGGGTACCACCTTGGACCCACTCTCATCCTATCCCTGCTGCACCTTCCCTGCTCCATCACTCTTGCTACCCTGTGATTGCACCTGCCAATAATGTCCTCACACCTGAGATCTGCTGCAGGCTCTGTTTTCTAGAGAATCTGAGCAAAGACCCAGGGCCAGCCTTTCCAAGCAGCACGCAGAAAGAGGACAGTGTGCCCAGGCCTGACGTCAGCGGTCGGCACACAATCTCTCAGGCCTTCCTCTCCAACCTGAGCGTGTCCTGGACTTCTCCACACCTGAGACTGCTCCTGCTGGGCCCTCTGCGGACTACACCCTCCCTCCGTCCACAACCACCAGTTGCAATAGCACCAATGTTAACTTTTTTCCTTATGCTTTCTGTATTTTCTAAGTACGTAGTTCATGTAGAATTATAAAACAGAAGTCATGAAAAAGACGTTCTGTTTATTTTTCAAGTTCCAGCTCAAAAACTACCATGTTCTGGAAGCCAAAAGTAAACTCTCCCTGCTCTATGCTGCCCAAACTATTTGTTTTTAAGTCACTTTACTGCGTTGATCACATATTGTTTTGTATCATAAATGATTCTTGAGTATCGCCGTGTGTAGCAGATCAAAAGCTCCTTGAGAGGAGGGATTACGATTCAGCGTTACATCTTCGGTAAAGCTTATCGCAGAGGACCATGCATACAGTAGGCACTCAGCACATATCAGTTGAATACATTTAAAAACCTATCCGTAAGCTTAAGATAACACTATAGATGTGTTCCTTAAATCATTACTGTTATTATTATTAATTGTGAATTCTTTTACGAAACCCACCAGTAAGGCTAGAATGTTCTGACAGTTGTTTGTGAAGCCCCATTCACGTGACTCAGATCATGCTGTGAATCTCCAAGCACGTGATAGTAGGGAGCAATTCTCAGAGGTTGCTGAGGTCAAGGATGTTAGAATCTAATCAGACAACATGGAATAGAGTTTCCACCCCACTGGGCCACCATAGTATAAACAACGTGAGAGGGGTCTTTTCATCCCTTCCATGCGTATTTTTGAGTACTTATTTTGCGCCAGGTGCTGTGATGATCAAATATATGTTTTTAAGAGTATAAATTCTATAGGAACAACAGCTATACTTATCTGTAGGAACATTTAAAGGCTATTAATTTCTTCCCCCCAGTTTCTTATTTAGAAAGTTGGTTTCTGGGTTCCTACATTTCACACTGTCCAGTTAATTTCAAGGAATTTCTGGAGTCATTCCAGGAGGTGAGTGAAGGAAGAAATCAGAAAGGGACATGAAAAACTATTACCAGAAGGACTAGTAATCCCTATTTTCATTCAATAAGTGAACTCTGTAAGAAGACAAGCTTGACGGTTCTCATAAAAAAGATGCTTTAATTTTCTTAAGTCCTTGACTCTGGGAAGCATTTTGAGCCACTCATTATGTAACAAGACTGGGCAGGCTTCCTTCTTTCTTTCTTTTTTTTTTTTTTCCATTGACATCTTCCAAGGAAAATGCTGCATGATATGATTTTCAAGGCTAATTTGCCTTTTTGTCTTAAGCACTGTCCCTTGCTACAAATTAGCCTCTCGTGCCTCCCTGAGCTAGAGAAGCTTCTTCAAAATTCCTAACAGGCAGCCTGGTGGAGAGATGGGAGGGAGGAAGGGCGGGAGGAAGGGAGGGAGAGAGAGGTAGAGGGTGCCTGTCTGCTGAGTACATGTGGTACAGGCAGGGAGATGAGAACGCTGGCAGAGCAGGCAGTGTAATTACATGTTCCTCGTAAGTATGCTAGCCCTGCGCGGAACTAGCCTTGCCAGGTCACTTGGGGAGGAAAAGTAGATTTGGGGACGGTGGATAAGGTCAGTTCATAACTGACTTCCCACTCGGGTATGATGAGGGCATTTGCTCATCTTCAGTGACTGCCTGGTGCTGGTGGTCAGGCTCGGCTCTTTCGCTCCCAGATATTTGATTTTGCAAAAGGGACACACCTTTCTGCAGGAAAGAAGACACTGACCAGATTGCAAGCGGTAGGTTGTGACATTCAGCATGTTTATGCAGCAGAATTGCTGAGAGAGGCAGAGCTGGGTCGGGGGGGGGCGTTTGTTCAGGCTGGTTGATCTATCTGCAGTAGGGCATGTTTGATTCTAATTGTCAGTTAAAAGAAGAGTTGCTGCCTGGGCTAAGGTGCCAGTTAAAAATTCTGTGTTCTAAGCTTTTATGTTTGTGTTTGATGCGTTGCTGCGCTCATGCAGCTGAGTGAAGCTAGGAAGGGCTCACCTTTAAATAACCTGCAGCTTGCTATTTTCCTTTTTTTTTCCTTCCCTGAGCCCTGTTCCCACCCCTTCTCCCCTACGTCCCCCTGAGCTGCCCCCTACCCCATGTGAAATGTGGGCTGTCTTCATCTTGAGCCTTTGGCACCCTGAGTCTGGATTTCTGGCTGGTTTTGCTGTAGGTATTTGTGGATGCTTCGCTGCCACCCAGGGCCCAGGCGAACTGACTGTGCAGCAGTGTTTGTGCATGGGAATCGGAGACCATGGCCGTGCAGCTGGTGCCGGACTCTGCTCTCAGCCTGCTGATGGTGAGTGCTCCTGGAGGAGGTGGGGCCCAGGCAGCGCCCAGCTCCAGCCTCTCCCGCATCGCAGCATCACATCGTGGGCTGCTGCTGCTGCTGCTGCTGCTGCAGACATGTTAAAAATTGCTTTGCTTTATCCCGCAGGCTCTTTTGAGATGATTTCTTGGGTAAGAGTACCAACCATGACAAAGCACTCCCGGGGAAAAGAAGCATTCGCTTTGCCGTTTTAGAAACTTGTTGCTTAATGCTATTTTGAGTGATGTGCTTGCAAACAGGTGCTAAGAGCCCCTGGAAATAGGTTCCCACCAACGCCTCCCCCTGGCTCTCCGGTGCCTTTGGAATCTAAATCGGGGAAATTGTTTGTTTGTTTCTTCATATCTCCTCATGGCAACTGTGGAATTTTTGGCCCACGGGACGATCGAATATGATCTTTTCTCTAGGTGCCCACGCATCTGGTCAGATTCCCTGTAGAAGCAGCTGAGAGCTTTGCTGTGGCCTTTTGTGACATTTGGACCACAGAGCTGGAGGAAGCTCATCTCCCAAGTACAGTCCCTAGGGAGCCCCTGTCAGGCCTTGTCCAGGCATTTCTCTGGGTGTGGACCACTGACCTACTTTAAGCTGCTCTCTGATTTCCATCACATTAAGAAGGTCATCCTCTTAGCGTACTTACGCAAACAAGGACAGTGGCATCCTCTTGCTTTAGCCTGAGTGACTTTTTGCTTGATCTAGGTTCAGAGTTTGCTTTTGCTGTCATGTTGCTCCAGGCTCCTCCTCACTGAGCTGCCCCGATGCCCGGGGAAGGCTGGCGGAAGTAGCCCGCGTCAGGCTTGGTCTTGGTGTGGGAATGTTTCTAACAGTTACACGGGAGGTTTTACGAACAAAACACAAGTGCTTCTGCTGTGTGTATTGATCTATGTGTCTGCCAGTGTCTGGAGAAAGCACAGTGCAGCTTTGCGAGGCCTGATGAGTTTATTCAGGCCACTTGGAAGAGGAGCCCGTGGAGAGCCTGCCCCGCAGGTGGGCAGCTGGGTTAAGTTAAGAGGGACAGCTATCTTGGTTCTTTGTTACCTCAAATGCCATTTGGGTGCCAGAGGCATTTGAAGTGCCTGAGATCTCGTGGGCCTCTGCTGACTTCTGATTTCACTGGGGGAAAAGGATTGGAAAGAGTGGAAGTTGTTTTCTAGAGCAATTACTCTGTCTGGGTCTTCTTCCCTCACTAATTCTATCGTCTGATGATACTCTATCCCCCATTGTCTACCTGTGGTCACACAAGTGATGGGAAAGGCTCTGAATATTTGTGACCATGGCAGGCACTGAAGTGGTGGCAGTATCCATGAGGGCCAGGAGGCTCCCAGGAAACTGGGAATTTGAGTTACGTGCAAAAAAATACAGGTCCATACACCCACATGCAGGTACGCATGTGTATATGAGCTAATATTGTTTCATAGAAATAAATCCTGCATTTTGTTAATATAGAGAAGAGAAACATTCTTGAAAAATAGCTTCAGGGAGAGCTGCACGTGCCTGCAGATGTCTGCTCTTAATTCTCCCCTGTCTTTCTGACCGCTTGGCTATGTGTCTGTTTTACTGGGAGCCCCAAGGATAAATCCTCGGTACCCCATCAGAACGCATGCCCCTCAGCATCCGGGTTCTGCCACTGCAGCCACGCACACACACCCGGGTTCTCCTGTCCTGGAGGTCTCTGCAGCTTAGACTTGATCTCCGTTTTTCAGCTGCCTCTGACCTCAGATCTCACCCCAGCGCTCACCTCTTGCCCGGATTAAAGGATTGTGTGCGCATCTCTCTTGGAAGCCAGGGGAAATAGCTCTTGACACGGTGATGGACCATTAGGTAGAGAACCCTGGAGGACCGTGTGTAATCGGAGTCAATGGAAGTTTTCTGGTTCACGTTTGGTTCAGGGGAATTTTCCCCTATGGACTCTGCTGCTTTTTTTATTTTTTCAGGGTAAACCCCAAAGTAATTGCTTCCCTGACCTATGACATGATGAGTCTCAAAATTTATAATCAAGTCAAGGAGGAAAGGATGGAGGAAAAGAGGCCATTAGCAGAGTTGCTTTGGCTGTGAATTCAGGAAGGAAGCTGTAAACATTATTTATTAACCAATCAATCAGCCGATCACTCCTCCGTCTTTGTGGAGTGCTGCTAACATGGGATGAGGGCAGGAACAGGACCGGCTAAACCCAAGTTTGGGGGCAGGTTGGTACCAGATTGCCTGATGGCAGTTCTTGATACTGTGTATAGAATCTCTGGATGCAGGGACCCGGGAGAGAGCAAAGCCGCTTGCTTTCGGATAAGGAGGCAGCCAGAAGTTATATTCAGTGTCGACTCTAAATGATTCACACCAGAAAATGTTTATTTGGTTATGGAAGTGGCAATGAGCCTGGAGTTAGACAGCTCTGTACCCTGTTCCCAGCTTTGCCACTTGCTGGGGTGATCTGGGCATGTTGCTTACTCTCTCTGTGCCTTAGTTGTGTCATTTGCTAACCAAGGGCATTGTACTCATCCCTAGGGTCCCTTTGAGGTTTGTTAAACACCATTTGAGACCTCTAGGAATGGTGTCAAGAGCAGAGCTCCTTGATATGCAACTCTAACACTTTAGTCAGCATTGTGTCTTATTTCCACACATGCACAGCATTGCTTTTAGATGGTGAATTTTTTCCGTCCATATGGCTTTTATGCCAGGGCAAGTATATTTTATATTATTTACTGGAATGGGTGATCATTTGGGTTCATTCATATTCTGCTGTCAGGAGTCCTACCCCATGGGAGCCTAATTTATTCTGTTGGACAAGACCAGATGACCTTTGCCCAGTACCTAAGGTGCCTCTCCAAGCTGGTGCTGGGTTTGGGGCATCAGGGAGGGTCCGGGTTGAAGCACACATGGACTGTCTTGAAGGAGGAGGATTTCACTGATTCTTTCAATGGAGAGTTAGCACAGAGGGTGATGAGTGTCTGTGAAAGACGGAGTTCCTCAAACAACTGAGGAGGGTTGGACTAGGAGAGGGGACAGGTGCCAGGGGTGGAGACAGCTTCACATGCCATTGAAAAGCCCACCTCCTCCATCTTTGCAGAAATCTTGGGAAACAAGGAAAGATACTTCTGTGTTCGCTACACTGCTGGGAGCCTTCAGCCTAGTGTGACTAATTACAGAGCAAGAAGCTCTTGGCCATGTGTCATTTGCTGAAGTCACGTGATTTGGGGAATGCTGCAAGGACTGGAACATGCTAAAGCCAGGGGTTCTTTGATCATTTCTTTAGTGACATGATAGAGGTGCATAACCAAGGGACTACAGAGGTGGTATTATGACCTTTTGGCTCTTAGATTCAGAAAGCTCGGACAGTTAGATTAAAATATATTTTAATGTAAGTTAGCTGGCTAGGTAATAATGCAAATTTTGCTTTTCTAGGAACAAAGTGTCTTTACATACAGTATCTCATTTAATCCCTTCAACAATCCTATTTTTGAGACAAAAAAGTTTGATAATCAGAATTTGGGAACCTGTCAATGGTCATATGACTGAAATTGATGGAACAAAGTCTCAAAATCAAGGTCCCCTGACTCTGAAGCCAGTATGTTCTCTGATATCATATCAAAGCTTGAGAACTTGACTACCAAGATCTTCTAACACTTTGGGTCAGCCCCTCCAGGGAGCCATTCTGCATTTTTCACATTTCTGGGTGGGTAATCCTATACTCCTGTTTATCATTATTTTTTTCCACGTTGAAATGTAAAATGAAAAAGTGATACCACAAGTCCAGCTCGAGACATCTGGTTTAACTCTAGTGAAAAGAAATATTTTTATATCCATGAAAGTCTTGCCATGTTTTCAAGGTCCCATTCTCTTGGACTCCGTGTCTAAGAAATTATCAAGAGGTTTACAATAGGAAAATTAGAGATATAAAAACTCTAATTCATAAGTCAGAAAAATTAGTGGGTGATTATTCTCAATGAATGAAAGATGTGACCTAGATTATCCTGAAGGTTCTTTCCATTCCAAAAATTTGATTTCAGGCATCTGGGATTCTTTTGAAAAGACTAGCTCTCTGGTCTATTTTGAATAGATTCCTATTGATAAGTTGCTGTTCTATAACTTTCTCTCTTTCATTTCATTTCGTTATAGATTCTTCTTTCCTCAGCCATTTTCCTCGTTTGGACATTTTCCTTTTCAATTAGCCAACAAATATTTGCTGAATATCTACTCTGTGCAAGAAGAATACAAGCTAGTTGCTGGCTTTAGTGAACTTACAATCTAATTGGATAGACAAGATAGAGATACATGGAAACTATAACAGTACAAAATTCACAGAACAACTTCAGAGAATCACATAAGAGCTGTAATAAGACAATGCATAACCCATCACCATGTGAGCTCTGGGGGGCTCTGAATTCAAAACCCTTCTTGTCAGCATGGAGGAGGTGGTTCTTTAAGTTTAGGTAATATGCTGAGGAATGGATGAGTTAAGAGAGTGGATGTGAGGTAAGGAGAGTGAATGAATTATGGCAGAGTCTAGATTGTGTTTGGAAGAAGGAAAGCAGACTGGTTTGGATAGAGTTCCTACAGGTGACAAAGGGTTACAAGATCAGAAAGGCACGTTGGGCTTGTGACCAAGATCCCAGTTATGTTACTATCACCTACTTTTCCTCTAAACGTGACCTGTGACAGGACTCTATTCAGAATTTTTAATAAGACCATGGATTTTCTCTGGATCCCAAATGGCAAAAGGCACAGGATAAAATGGAGTTCTGTCTTGAGGAATCTTGCTCTAGTTAATCGTAATAACCCTCATGTTTTTCAAAGTGCCTTTGTGTCTGTTGTCAGGGCAGGTACTACATCTTTCTATCATATGCTGAAGCCGAGATCCAGAGAAGTTAAATATCTTGCCCAACATGACTCAGCTCATTTGTGATGAAATTGAGATATTCCCCAGGTTTCCATGATGGTTAACTCATAAATTTGAAACTGTGATATTGATGACCTTTATGGAA